CTGGGGCGACCAGTGCAGTCGACGGACAGGCGAAAACAAACAAAAACAAACAAAACGGTGGAAAGGAGCCAGCCGAGGGGCCGAGCGCCCGCGGGGCGGCGGGCGAGCCTGGGGCGACCAGCGCCGCCGACAGACAAGCGAACACAAACAAAAGCAAGCAAAACCAGTGAATTGAGCCAGCCGAGGTGCCGAGCGACCGAAAGGTGGCGGGCGAGCCTGGGGCGACCAGTGCAGCCGACGGACAAGCGAAAACCAACAAAAACCAACTAAAACAACGCATTTGGCCAGCCGGGGGGCCGAGCGACCGAAAGGCTGCCAGTGTGATCGGCGGACAAACGAAAACAAGCCAGAACAACCGAAACCAGCCAAGGAATGGGGCCATCCGAGGAGCCGAGCCACCTAGCGCTACTGCGCGCCGCTCAGACAGGGCCCGGAAATTTGTAATCTACTTCTTGTAATTGTTGTTGCTGTTGTTTTTGTTGGGCGGCCCCGAATGCAATCTATTTCTTCCGCCTTCCTACTTCATGTTTCTACTTACTTCTTCCGACCGGTGGGTAATCATCACCAGCAGCAGCAGCATCAGCATGAGCAGCATAAGCGTTAGCATCACCCCCAGCCCAGCATCATTATCAGCATCATCAGCAACAGCCGCATCAGCAGCATCATCAGCATCAGCATCATCAAGATCATCATCATCACCGCCATCATCATCATCATCATCATCAGCATCATCATCATGATCATTAGCAGCAGCTTCATCATCGTCGTCACCGTTGTCACCATGCTTGGCAGCATCACCATTGTTACCACCACAATCAGCAGCATCATCACCAGCAGCAGCATCATCACCATCGTCATCACCGTTACTATCACCATCAGCAGCATCAGCATCGTCGTCATCAGCATCATCATCATCATCATCATCATCATCAACACCAGCAGTAGCAGCAGCATCATCAGCATCAGGAGCATCAGCATCAGCACCAACAACACCCCCAGCATCAGCATCATCAACAGCAGCCGCATCAGCATCGCAATCGGCAACAGTATCATCACCATCATCATGATCATCATCAGCATCACCATCGTGTTTCCATGACCACCATCAGCAGCAGCAGCAGCAGTGTCACCGTCGTCATCTGCATCAGCATCATCAGCACGATCATCAGCATCATCATCAGCATCATCATCAGCATCACCATCATCATTCGCATCATCATCATCAGCAGCAGCATCATCGTCAGCAGCATCACCATCAGCAGCATCACCATCACCATCATCATCGTGGTCTCCGTCACCTCCCCCTCCTTCATCAACATTATCAGCATGTTGATCCCCTCCTCTCCCCTCCTCCTGTTCTTTCGGCTTCTCGTTACGAGCACCGCCTCTCCTCTCTGCACGGATGCCGCGCGAGCGGGGCGCCGTTGCTCCCGCATAGGTGTTGTCTTCATAACGCCTCCGAAGTCTGAAGTGTCCCTTCGGTCGGACTGCGTTTGGGTGCCTCAACAGGAGCAGCAGGAGCAGGCGAATGAGCAGGAGCAGGAGCAGGAAGAGGAGCAGGAGGAGGAGGAGGCCAGTGAGGAGGAGGATATGGCGGGAGGGCCTCTCCTGCTCCTGCTGCTCCTTCTCCCGCTCCCGCTGCCGCGCTGGCCTCGTTTCAGGATCGGCGCGTTCCTCCCGTCATTCACAATGGCGTTCTCGCCCCAGTGCGGGCCGCACGTCTGGAGCCGAGTGTTCCCTCGTCGCTGCCGAACCCCTTCGGTTCCCCTCGTCCGCCTTCCCATGGTCCTCCTGCTCCTCCCGCTACTCTTACTTCTGCTGCTGTTTCTGGTAAACGCCCCTCATCATTATCCGTGCACCCTTGCTCATCCACATGCTCATGTGCCACCTCCTCTCCCAAAACACAAAGCTCCCGTTCCCTATTGCTCAGCACACGATGTGGTACGTTAGGGGATCCATGCCCGCTCGGACAACCATCGCCGAATAGAGAAAGTAAGTGCAGTGGGAAGGGACGGTTTTGATGGGTAGGAAATCGTATACGTCGCGCCCACCTGGATTGCTTCCTCTTCCTCCTCCGTCCCCTCTTCACCCCCCGGTTGCTCCTCATCATCCTTTTGTTCATCCCCCCACAAGCCCAATTCCGACCAGAGCCTCGTAAGGCACACACGTGCCAGACCATAGTTGATACATGCATCAGCAGGCAGTCGCCTTGCCAAGTGTAGGACGAAGAGGCAAAAAGAAGTAGCTGAGCCCATGCGAGCATCAAATGGCTGTGCACGCTGCAACTAGAAGGCGGAAGAAAAGCACACCGATTAGCAACACATGATCATCATCTCGAGGCATCTTGCTGCTCATCCTTCTCCTGATTCTGCGAGTGCCCGTCCAGCCCTCCCTTTCTCCTCTCCTCTTACCTTTCTTTTCTTCCTTCCTCTTCCTTCCTCTTCCCCCCCTCCCCCCTCCCCCCTCACCCACCTCCCCTGCCATCCGCCTGCGAAGATAT